CCACTGAATTTCAGGCTAATTTGTTATGCATCCATAGACAACAAATTGAGAATTCATGAACTTTTGCACCCTGTCGAATTGCAAAGTCTTGCCAATATCGGGGGGTCAGAGAAATTCTTCTAACATTCACATTTGTATGCCCCAAAGCAGAAATATGAAATAACAGTCATTCAAGATACCTATTGGTAGAGACCTTGTGAGTTTAGGAGAAAATATAGGTTGTATCATCAATAATTGCCTGAGGTTCTCATTTTCTCATTAAGGTGACTAAGTACAATTTATTTTTTAAGTACAATTTATTGATCATTCTCAATCTGGTCCATTGTTCAGCTACCAACTGCTGTGAGCACTGAGAGGAAAAAAGAATTAATCATAGTTTCAGGTGTTAGGTAATTTTGTTTAGAGCTAATCGGCATCCTCGGAATCAAATGACTATTACTGGAACACCTCCAACAATTAACAGTACAGGAATCCACGCCATCCAAACACCACAGTTTATGCTGAATATCAAAATGAACCATGGCTATGAAGTTTGCGGCTTTGGCAGTGTTTGATTGTTGTGTCTCACCTGGCCTGGCAGGTAGCTTTCTTCTGCCCATAATTCACCTTAGTCAAAAAAGCACAAGGTTTTGTGTCAATTCACCTTAGTCAAAAAAGCACAAGAAAATCTGTGCTTGAACTCAATAGTGCCTCTTGGGCTATGCTCTCTGGACTATTCAGATCCTCATATCCTGCCTGTGTTTCACAAGCCATTTCCGTGGACAGGAGCTCTTCCAGGGCTGAGGCTGTGTTCTTCTTCGCATCCCCACTGCTTGGTATGGGCACTGCCAATGACCAAAAAAATAAATAAGCTCATGGACGCTCAGGGACAGGGAGCCCAGGCTACAAAGTCCAAGCTATGCTGTTCCTCATGTGGTAAAATTCACCTCCACTGCAAGGTCAGCATTTGATAGGAAGGAATATGCATTGTGTGTTTTCTGGACATGCTCCAGATAAAAGCTTTTTTCTCCAAAGATGAGATATTAAAGAATTGAGCCATACTGAATAGAATTTAATAAAATTCAAAACATTTAAAAATAAAAAAACAAAGATGAGGTATTATAAATTGAACCTAGAAAATGCTGAGCATGGAAGAGAGAAAGTGTGGGTAAATGAGGGGACAAGAGAATGCACAGCACACGTCTGTTTACCAAAGCTGCTGGACAGTCAGACCCGAACGCTCTTGTGTATCTCTCATGGTGACAGTGCCCTCTCTCTCAGGCCTCAGAATGTGTGCAGGCTAAAAGCATTTGGGAGCATCAGCCCTGTACCTGATATTTATCTCAGCCAAGGGCTTCCCCTCTGGAACTTGCTATCACAGGAATACGTGCCTGTGTTGTGCCATTCCAGCTTCAATTTCTGTTATAATAATCCTTCGCCTGGTTATATGAAAGTCAACCCTAAGATAAGCCCATTGTACGATATTTTAGAGAAGTACAACTTGTTAATCAAATTAAGTGGATCTGCTACTGCGGTAATGCATGTTCTATCTCAAAGGCCAGTGCAGTGGGTTTATGATAAGCTTCATTCTAACAGAGCAAGGGTAGTTGTGACTTCAGGAAAATCAGTGCACAGTTGCTCGAATTATATTCGGCCACTTCTCAGCCCAGTTTAGAACCTATTTTTTAAAAACTGATTTAAAGGGAAAGACCACAAGACTGGAATGCAGAGGCCAGTGTTCTGGTTCTAATCCTCCAAACTCTGCGTCCCCCATGCCTGACTCCAGATGAGACCTGCCCTCCTGTGTTTCACAAGCCATTTCCGTGGACAGGAGCTCTTCCAGGGCTGAGGCTGTGCTCTTCTTCGCATCCCCACTGCTGGGTATGGGCACTGCCAATGACCAAAAAAGTAAATAAGCTCATGGACGCATATTCACACATGTCTGTAAGTGGGTAGGTGAGTGTAAAAGGAAGTAGATAAAGGTCTGCCCCATTCTGTCAACATGGGGGTTGAAGACAATGTAGATGGTGAAGGGAAAGACAGGAGGCGGGGGAAGCCAGGCAACAGAAAAAAGATGTCCCGAAAAGGCCTAGATGCATAATGGGATCTTTTCGTAGAAGCATGTGTATGTATGCATAAATAAATTAAGGGGAAAATGGTGATGTGTGTACATTAAGCCAAAGCAAGTTACAGACTATTTCAGTTAAGAACTGCAAACAAAAACATCCCATATATCTTTTATATTGCATAATTAGGTTTAAATGCATAAAAGAGAGGGTGTGTGTTGTGGGCATATCTGCTGGGAATGTTGGCTGCTGATGGCTCACAGTTGAGCCCCTCTACAGCCATTACCCTTAGATAAAAGGAGCTTCTTTATCCAGAATTGTGCCCACCTCCTCCTTATGGGCAGCTCATATGAAAAGACTGGTCTCTATAGGGTCCAAAGCCTGGGTCCCTTCTCAGTGCAGGTCAGCTCAACGTACTCCCTGGCTGGTTCTGCTTCCTGCCATCCCACAGGGGCAGTAACACAAGCACAAGCCCAGGGAAACTCCTAGGTGCATATCCAGTCTCCACCTGTTTTCTGAGAAACTATGATGGGGTAAAGGATACACACCGGTCTATTAAAATATTACCTAAGGGACAAAGATGGGGAGAAATGATTAGCTTTTCTGTATGAATCTTCATATTGATTCTCTTATTACTGCAAGCATGTATCACCTTTCCAATTTTAAGAATATTAAATAAAGACTTTTAAGCCATAATAAACATATATTAGTTGAATGAATTGATGAATGAATGTGTCTATATGTTGTTGGAGAAATAGATAAATACTATGTTGAAGGGTTTTCAGTGTTTAATGGACTCAACTATAGGAGATTTTGCCAATACTTTTGATAACTTTTGACTTAGTTGGTTCAAAAGAGATTGGACCAGCTTTCTTAGAATGAAAGCCACCTTCACAGATAGGATGATGAAAAAGGCAATAGGTGGAAGAAAAAATGAGAGTGAGTTTTAATTCCATGGAAGGAGGAATTGTCTAATATCAGAGCTCTATCTTAAAAATAGGCTGAAAGTTTGGGGCAATTACTACCCAAATGACAGTGACCTAAGGACCTATGATTATTTTCATTCAGCAAGCAGATTAGAATTGGAAGAGGACAATACCAGGCATCTTTGTGATCTCCAACACCTCTCTATCTCAGGCACCAGAAAACCCTAGGACCGCTCTTTCCCCAGTGATACAGCCTCAGAATCTTTGACAAGCCAACTCTGCAGGCAGCCTGTTGACACTGGAGTGTCCAGCAGAGATAGAGTTGTCTGTGTGTCCTTCCAGAACTGAATGGCCTTTACCCTTCCTCCAACTCTGAGGTGCCATGAGCTCCTCCATTCATTGCAGAAACAACCTAAATGATCAAGTCCACACCTTAGCTAAATGCTTGCTCCTTTCTCCCTCAAACTCCAATCGAGTTTTACAAATGCATTCTCTTTATATGATTATGAGATCCTTGAGGCTTAGCAGGGTTTCTGAGAAGAAAGCCCTTGACAGCATAATTATCAAGCTACCAACTGCGTTGATAGATATTAGGAATTGTGTAGGGGAAGGCTTGGCCTGAATTCTGCACAGGACCCCTGATTAAAAAGACTCATAAATAAGCCTGTTCAGAAGCTTCCCACTTAGGATAGATGCTCCTGCTTCTTGTAGTGGTGATTCTAGACTGAGAGAATTACTTCACATTGATTGATTGATTGATTCATTCTTTTCTATGTTGTCACTGTGCCTGGGACAAGAGCTAAATTAAGGAGTAGGACAAAGATTCTGACTTCAAGGAGAGTCCAGAGAGTCCTTGAGAGTCAGGACTGAGTTTTTTCCAAGATTTAGCTATTATAAATTGTGCTGCTATAAACATGGGTGCACAAATATCGCTGTGATATGGTGTTTTTAATTCTTCTGGGAAGATGCCTGGAAGGTAAATAGCTGATTTGAATAGGGTTTTTTATGTAATGGAATACTACTCAGCCATAAAGAAGGATAAGATGAAGTCTTTTATAGGCAAATAGATGCAACTCGAGACCATACTCATAAGTGGAATAAACCAGACCCATAGGTGTAAATGTCATATTATCTCACTAGTGTGAGAAAATGAACAAGTAAATAAGATCTGAAATGTACAACAGATATTGTGAATTGAGAAGACACTGTTCAAAAGAAAAGACAAACTTTGATGGGGGAAAAGGGAAAGGAAGAAAGGTAAAAATATATGCATACACAAGATAATTATGATAGTTGTACAGCTAGTTTCTCCTAGTTCATTAAAAAGAAAGTTTTGTGCTAATATTATATAGACAAGATATCATGCTTGTATTTCTACTCTGAAGAACTACCAGGAAGACAACAATATGCAGTGTATCAACTACTGTAACTGTCCTACTAACCTGTTTTGAAACTGTGTTTCATTGTTGTGTTTATCTTTTCTTTTTTCCTCTCTAAAATAAAAAGAAAAGAGAGCAGGACTGAAAGTGACACACTTAAGAATGTTTATGATAAATGGGTGACTTTCATGACATAGAACTATTCAGCATGCTGAGGATATTAAGGACTTAAAGGGGCTCCAGCTTGGGGAGAAAAGAGATTGGCTGGGAAGAAGCTTGCTGGAGGAAATGCAAAACATTTGTCATGATCAGATCATCTAAGTATGTGCTGCAGTCATTTTCAAAGAACCTAAATTTGTTGCATAAAACACATTTCTGGATTTATAATCATTCTATAGAATTTCTACCTTAACTAGTTACCATGCTATTGAAAAGCTACAAAAATGAATTTTAAAAATTAGTGAAAGAAATTAAATTCTGAAGTGAAAAAATAACTTAATAAGCAACAATTGTCTTTGCTTTAGAAATCTTAGATGATACAACCCCCATTTGACTTAAAAGGAAATAAAGTGCTTAGACTAGAAAGGGAAACTGAGGTTCCTTATTTTGAAGCCATAACTGTATTTCTTCCCTGCCTTCTTTCGTTTCAGATATCCATACCATCCTAACTGTACAGAGAACAGATATCTTTCCGAGTGAGGGACAAAGAACGTGTGGTCAAGAGAAAACATCGCAAATACCATCACAAAAGGTACTGTTTGCAGTGAACTTTCTACCATTCATCATTCTAATGGCCAGTTTGAGTCTTACGCTTGCAACTGCATCTTCCCAGGGCTCTGAGACCCTTTGTCACTGAAACAACCGCCTGAGGGGAACAGTCTCCCCTAAAATGAGGTGGCCAACCACATCTGCTCCTCTGGGCACCACGTGGTTTCAGAAAACAATGGAGAAACCGGGTACTAAGGTTTCTGGCTTCTTATAAAATACCTCTGAAATGCACTTCATGATACAGTGGGTAATAAAAGTGTGTTACTGTGCTCAGTCGCTCCAAGAGGCTAGACTTGTTTCCCAGCCCACCCACGCCTGCGCTGGGCCTGCATGAATCAATGCTAAATTATTCACCAGCCTGACTCTAAAATTTCTAGAGTTCCAAAACCCCTAATAAAGTATTATGAAAAAATATCCATCTCTTTATCTCTATCCATAACTATTTATATGGCTGGTGGAAAAACCTGTCGTTTTATTTCTTTTAATTTAAAAGCTTTTCTAATTCCTTTTCCCTACCACATATATATGACTAAAGAATTTTCAGGTTGAAATAATAACCTCTAAAAAATGGTCCATAGGAGAAGACTCTGAGGATTCACAGCGTCGACAGGCACAATGAATATTTTGCTCCCTTAATAACTTGCCACGGCACTGAAACCTGTTTCACTGGATTAGGAACTTTCCAAACAGGCAGAGCCCCTTTTTTCTTGTACAAAACAATAACAAGGTACTCACCAGCCTTCTCTCTCTATTTGTTTATACAATCGTTAAAGTTTGTTCCGGAAAAACTCATTTCCTTCCTGAGACTCATCATGCACTCAGTGCTCATCACGGCATTCTACAGACACAAGTCTTTTCTAAAGCTTTCTGTATGAATCAGCCCAGAATGTCTCAGCAGCACCTTGCCTCACTTGGAGACACTTGACCACTGAGGACACCAGGACATTTGAAACATCTTTCAATATTCAAAGTCACAGGAGACTTTATCACCTGTAGCTGGCTGTCAGCTACCCATATTAGCGGGTAAATTGGTTAATTTGATGCTTCTAGACTACTTCTAGCTGGTTGAGATCAAGTTCTCTACAACCAAATGGGGCTAGAACAGGGCAGATGAGCAACTAGGGGAACCTGTCAAAAAAGCATCACTGGAGATGTACTAGGGTGGAGATATTTTCACTTACCAGCACTTTGGTCAGAGAAAATCCTTCTATAGAGAAGAGAATATTTGACAAACCACTTGCAATGGAGTATTAAACTCCCACCCAAAGAATCTTCTCCAATAGAAACATTTGGCTGTATACTGACTTCTTAGTAAAGTTTCAATGCAACATTTGGGGTGTTAGCACCCTCTTCTAAAAAGATGTTAAAGAAATAGTTAAAGAATATTGGTTTAAATGTAGGGTGAGTCATTAATGTGATAGGACATCTATGTATTTTCATCCATTCCTGCTATCTGAGGTCTTTGGTGGAGGGGCTGGAAAGATGAAAGAGGGAGCCCACATCTTTGAATGAGATTCTAGTTGTGGGGGCTGCTGAGAAATGGTGTGCAGCAGCAGGCAGTGGGAGAGGGAAGGACAGCTGAGGACAAGTATAACCGTTACATTTGGAGATGGTGTCTCTCCAGGAACCAGGACCTTACCTTTGGTTTTACCTTTGGAAATCACCCCACAGGCTGAGCCAAGAACGCTCATGAACAAGATGAGCTTGCTGTTCAAAGCATAGGGAGGAGCAGCACAACATTATGAGCCAACATCACACCAGAGCCATGTGCATACCAAGGACAGGGTCCACGTGAGTGTAAAGCTGACAGAAGTCCCTGAGCCCAGGGAAAGGCAGACCAACGTGAATGTGAGGAGGTGACCTTAAGGGTAGCTAACAGGTGCCAGGGGGCCCAGGCAGCTCTGCAGGGGTCTGGCTGGCTTCTCAGCTTGAAAAGCAATGCTCAGAGCTAGTCTTTAGAAGCACCAGCCATTCTGTCTATTAAGTTTGAAAGCCACTCACTGGCACGGAGGCCACCTATCTTTCCCTGCTGGACCTTGTCCCACATGTAGGATCATCTTCCTAGGAGAACACTACCTGTCCAGATTGACTTTCTGTATCATGCACTCATTTACAAACTGCTTTTCACTAACATGGCCTGGTGTTGGAATTGCAGAAGTTACCAATCAGGAAGGCAGAAAGGTATCTTATAGCTCTATGGCAATTCAAACCAAGATGCGTTTATCAGGCAAGTCTGGACTACCTGGTTCAGCTTGCTTCTATCTTACCTTCAATCCCCATGCATTTGCAAGCAGCTTATTATAAGAGCTGATTAGATGAACCTTAATAACATTAGAACTTAAATGGTCCCAGATAGGCTTTCAGCTTCTTGCCAAATTGAGATAAATGTGATATTTGGGGAACTGAGCTCCCAGTTTTGTGGCTGCTCTGGTCTGTGCACAGATTCTGAAGCATTGCACTTTCTCCTGTGGCTTTTTGCAGCATAAACTTGGGTTTGTGTGCATCTTTCAGGTCCTTTTCTTGTCTCAGGGTCTGTGAGTCTTTGTGTAAATGAGTCTCTATGGTCATGCATTTTCAAAGAAAGCTAATGTGGGGACAAGAGGCCCTGGACAGAATTCTATCTTTCAATTATGATAAAACTTTTTGTGTCTCCACACCTTCTGGGATCTTTCTTTCAGTTTAGCCAACAACTTATACTGGGCAACTATTGTTATTTAATTCAATGTTAATTTTTTGAATACCACACTTTCACCAAGAATCATATAAAATGGTCAAAAATGAGAACGTCTCATTGCACAAAGATGTTCAACACCGTCTGAACACATAAGAGTGGGTTCATATTCCAGAAGAACAGACTCATCCATGGAGTATGTAGACGTAGCCTTCTGATTTAATACCTCCTCTGTGAAGTTTAGAAAAAGGTAAAAACAGGACATGAAAAGGCAAGAAAAAATAAAACCAACAGTGAATAGAAACACTTGCTCAGTGTTGATGTAAATGTATTCTTACAAACATCAAAAAATGAGTTTTCCTCTCTTACTGTCTTTCCCCTTCCACACCAGATGTCTAGGTATCCCCAGAAACTCTTGAAAACGTGATTTGCTTTCCTGAATGTGGGTGGTCATTCAAGAAGTGTCATGGAAACTAAGTTTTTGGAAAGCTCACCAAATGTAGCCTCCCTTTCACCTTTTAGAAGTTAAACTTTGAGCTTAAACTTTGCATTCATTTTGCATTTGGGTAAACACAACCTGCCAAGTTTGCCTGAATAGCAGCTGAGAAACCCCCAGGTGCCACCCAGGAGGTAGGAAAGCTGAAGTGTGGGCAAAGCTGTGGGCAAACTCACTCCTCTTGCTTTGGCCCAGGGAATCCAAAGCTCACATCAGCCTTTGGGGACCGCTGAGGGATTTTGAAAGGATTTAAAAATCCTGTGGCTGGGAACAGAAACTACAACTGAATACATGGCTTCTCGGGCTGCCTGATAAAACTGGGGCTGCAGAAGCTCAACAAAGTACAGCTATAGAATCACAGTGTATAACTCTATCCCAAACTCCCATCAGTCAGGGCTCATGTCATTATTCCATATGGAAGGGGGAAAAAAGAATATCAGAGATATTGGCAGAGCCTTCAGGCTTAGCCCTGCACCCTCAGGAAAGTAAGCACTCCATCTGTGCTTTGCAATGCTTTCATAATGAGCATATTATCTAAGAGGTCATTGCTCATGACAGTACTTTTTAAATGCTGTACTTGTGTTTTCTCTCAGTATCTTGTGATTCACATGTAAAAAAAAATTAATGGTATTGAGTGTCTTAGCCAGAATTTTGCCTGCAAACTCCCCTCTTCCTTTGCTAAGCCTGGGGCCATGCAGAAAGAGCCTTCCTAGCTTTCATCATGGTGCACACCTGTAATTCCAGCACTCGGGGAGGATGAGGCAGAAGGATCACAAGTTAGAGTCCAGCCCAGGCAACTTACCACTTAGACCCTATCTCAGAGTTAAAAAACAAAGTGAGGTGAGTACACAGGCCCTGCATTTGGTTCTAAGTAACACACACACACACACACACACACACACACACACACACACACACACAGCCTTGTTAATTTCCCTCCTGCTCTCCTCTGGATGTCTCTGCACAGATATCTTCCTAATTTGCTTTCATCTTGTCTCTTCACAGAGAAAGCCTCACCGTCTTTGCCAAAGGCTACCTTTTCCTGACCCTCTTTGCCTGCCTCACCCATCTCTTCTAGAGCCTGATCCACTCATTGTCCCTTTCCTCACTTACAGTTTCTCTCAATTGCTATAAGCTTTTTTCTCTGCTTAGAGTTGAGTCTTGTCCCATTAAACAAACAAAAAAACAAACAAATCCCTTGATTTCCTCTCTATCGCCTCCTCTTATTCTGAACTATGTGTAAAAAATATTCTATTTCACTTCTCACATTTACCCATTTCATGGGTTCTTCCTACCCATGTAACAAGTTCAGTGCAATTTAGGAAACATGAATGGAACACATACTATGTGCCAACTTTATTGTAGATCCTGACCACAAGCAGAACACACTCCCACAAAGCAAGTAAGCATGCCTATCCCCTATCCCAAAGGACAAAGCTGGGCCAAGAGGGTGCTAAGTACTATGGAAAGGCAGGATGTGAATGGTCTGCCCTGACTTGGAGGAAGATTGCAGCAAGGCAAGTTTCATAGGAGTTTCCAAATGAGGAATTCAAGAAAGGAAAAGGGAAGAAGAGAGAAGAGGTGTTAGTCTAGGTAAGAGGAAGAGCATGGAAAAAGTCACTGAGGTCACTGGGCCCAAACAACATGGCACAGGGCCGGCGGCATGTGTGTGGCGGGATGACGAGGCATGTTGAGGCTACAGAGGCTGACAGATGCTTAGACCTGATGTGTGAGACCTTGGGAAACATTAAATCCTTGCAGACAGAGGGAATGTGGGGGGGCTCAGAGCTGGGAAGTGTCACGTTTAGATCACCTG